TAAACATCTCGGCCATCATTAAATCTAACTTTCTTCATAATTATTTCAAAAGAATAATTCAACTATGAATAACAAGTTTCAGTTGATAACTACATATACCATTAATGTTTTGCGTGTATAGAGATGTAAGCCAATCAATTGATCGGCTTACATGTCTGTCTGCGTATATTTCACATGATAAAAAACATATGAATATTGTGCGTTAAGTATGAACAGAGGTTTTTAGTGGTAGATAAAAGTATTCTATCATAGTTTGTTGAGAAAGAGAAGACTTATAAAAGATGTTTCATAATAACTGACGATAAATTGTTAATGATATTTTTCATATTTTTGTTTGATACAGAAGACTAAAATTTTTGTCACATATATGTCTAATCAAGATCTTTTAATTTTGAAAGTTTCAGCTCTCTAGCTATAACTAGTGGTGAAATACATATATTTCTGTTTTATTTCTACTGTAAAAAATCAGGCAAAAATTGAGCATGAAAAACTATGTATTTTATCAATAGTTATAGCTACAGAGCTAAAACTTTCAGAATTAAAAGATTTTAATTAGATATATATGAGATAAAAATCTCAATCCTCTACATCAAACAAAAGTATGAAAAATATCATTAACAAATTTATCCTTAGTTATTATGAAACATCCTTTAATCTTCTTGTTCTATAATTCAACATTTATTAACGATTGTGTTTCAAGGATCCGAATGGACTGGACTGGGCCGAAGAAAGTCGATCCATGGGCTATCGACTTTTCACCGAGCCCACCCATGGGTGACCTATCTAGTTAAACATTTTTTCACGAAATAGTTTAACTTGCTATGTTCGTCAAAGTGATTTATGATCGCTAACTATTTTTTTATTTTATCATTTTTAATAGCGGTGTACATCGAGAGATGTTATTTCTGAAGAAGTTTGACCCCTTGCAAATTCATACTATTTTTTGTCTATGATAGAAATTGGTAGCGATAGCGAAAGTATAGGTGATAATAGAAACTAATAATTGAGAAAGATTAGTAGAAATAGGAATACGTTCAAAAAAGATAATTGATGATCATGCAATTATTGGTGAAAGAAAAGAACGACGCCATGATTTTGTTTTTTGGAATAAAAACAAAGTATTATAACGTGAAATAAAAGAACCAAACGAGATGTTTCGAGATGAGCAAGATCAGTGATAATACGCGGTGTTTCCTGAGAAATTTTGTTTTTAATTCAAGTCAAAATTTGACCCATGAGCTATTGTTGATCCATGGGCCAAAGCTCGTAGCCCATGGGTAGGTTGGACTGGCCCCAATCCATTAGGATCTCTGGTATCTATCTACTGAGTACATTTTGGGACCCAACAATTGTCTTTAAAGGTTAAAAAAAATCGAGCAGAAATCAAATTTACATAACGAAAATAGCTAAAATCGCATATATTTTTTTCTTTTTTCTCAAAATTAAATTTTTAGTAGGCAAAGTACTGTTTCGTTCTTGTTTCTCCGGCATGGTAAGAAAGATCGAGCTGAAAATCTTTTTGCATATTCTAGTCATTATTTAGGGTGACTAGTTTTTTTCGTTTCAAGAATTATTGCTCTGGTGATTTTTGGAAGCTTTCACAAAATTTACTAGAAGAATAAAAACAAGCGTTTTTTAGGGTAGACTCGGTATTTTGACTTTTTTTATTGAAACGACAAAAAATAAAAAGAAATTAAAAAAAAATACCCACCTCAGTGTCTAATATCTGTAAAAAAAATTTCAGCTCAATCGAACATACCATCTTGGAGAGATGGGGGCAAAAACTAGGGCCATTTTTCGACATTATGACCCTATTATCTCATAGAAGACAACATCAGGAAATTTTTAGTCTATGACAACTTTTTCCGTACTCATCAAGATCTATATGCCCTGAAAATTTCAAACTTTTCTGATGAGTCATTCTCAAGAAACTCCGGAAAGAGAGATATCTTTAAACAAGAAAAAGATAAAAGATAAGCAAAAAATTTTCGATAAGTCAATTGAACAAGTTAATTAAAATAAACTTGCGATGACATCTTTATGAATAATATTTGGAAAGCATATCTTTGAACAATTTTATTTTTTTCAATTTCGACATTTTTCTTTCTATCAAATTTCAGAGAATCTTACCATCAGTGTTTAGTAACCACTACCAAGACAATTATTTTATGAAATTGTTTTTGTTTATTCTAACTAGTACCAAGTAATAAGAGGCTCTCAGATAACTTACGAGATTGTTCCTGTCCTCCTGTTTATACTAAGATTTTGTTCTAGTAGATCAGTGTTGTTCCTAGCTCAATAAATTTTTTCCGTTGCCACATGTGTTTAATCAAAATTATTTTTTTCCTATAAATAAAATATGCCAAATTTCATATACTAAAATGTTTTGAATATGTTTTTTTCTTAAATATTTTTTATATCCTTTTATTTAAAAAATACATTAAATAAAAACAAACCTATAATAAATAACGTAATCAAGCTGTAGAAGCTACGATTCATCATTATCACTATGAGCTCAACAAAACATAAAAACCCTCACATGAGTTTGAAGGGAAAAGAAAAGAAGTCCTTGAACTAATAAATTAAACTTCATTGATATTTTTCTTCTATATGTCGCATTTTGATCTTTTTTTCAATTGACACTCTAATCATAAAGAAAAAATTTTAATGAATATTAAAAGAAAATCATAAATTAATGTATGATAGATAATTAAACCAATTATTTTAAGATGTAAAGATGGTATTGAATTGATTCATATCATACATTAAAATATTTGTTTATACGACAAAAAATCAGAAAAAATATAAATAAATTTATCTAACAGTATAAATAATATATTATTTATAAACTTCAAATATCGAATATTTTTTTTCGAGAAAAAACCTCAATATGTAATATTATTATATCACTCTAAAAAATCAAGACATATGAAGTATATACACAAAACAGTTCGTCCACTTTGAGCTGATTCTAATTGATTGATTTATCTCTAATTTAGAAGCTTCAAGTGTCAACGGATAGCCAATTTTAGACACTCGAGTATCTTACTCCCTTCTGGTTGATTCTTCTGCACCAACTAGAGAAGTGTCGTATATATATCTTTCTATAAAATAAGTATTTTCACATTAATTTCTTTTTTCAGATGTAACTTAACATTTTTTAAAAAGAATTTAAAATTTTTGTCGATTCTATTTGATAAGATATTAGATTGAATTCGAAAATATTTTTATTACGCGCTATTCATATCGAAATGTAATCATTTCTAGAATTAGTAGCTCGTTAAGCAACTGAAATATTGATTAGCAATATCAAAATTGTTTAAAATATTTTCGGAATACTAACATAATCTAGAAAAAATAAATATAATATAGTAAGGTAAATCGAAAGCCTGAAATAAAATGAGTAATATAAGCGTATATATTTATTTATATCGAGAAACTGCAAATTTTTCACAAGTTTAAAAAAAAATAATACTTACGAATTCTAATCGACTTACTACTAAATAACTTGAGATAATCTCTTTAAATGTTGATCAAATGCATTGTTATGAATAACAAAATAAAGTTTTTCATAAAAACCCTAATCTTTAAATACATTGAACTTATTAATATCTTGGTAAACACTTCCAACTATAATTAATTTAATCTCATTTACCTATATAACAACATGTAAACTGAAGATTAAAGAATACTTACATATTTCTGCTATTTATTAGAATATTAAACAATTAACACAATTCAAAATAGCCATTTTCTACTTTTTTAATCGTCAATCATAGTAACCCATATAAAGAAAACAACTCAAAATTAGATTAAAATCAATTTTTTCTTTTAACGCTGAAAAATTTGATTTGAATTAGAATAAAATAGTGCCATTATAATAGCGTATAACCTGATTTTTAGGCGCCCTTTCTTTTTTTTTTTACATGGGAACGTTTGAAAATACCACAGCAGCTGTAGAATGCGAACATCACTAAGATTGACAGTTATAAAATAAAAAATGAATGCTTCATATAAACAATGTTTCTGGATGTAATAAATTTATTTGTAAATAAAAATTCTAGTGGTAAATGTAAAGCAATAAGTCCGAAGAAACTGTATAGACTAAAACGATATAACCTAAAAGCAGTGAATATAAACTTACTTAGTCCAACTAGTTGGAAATATTTCAAAAAAACTCAGAAATAAACTACGATGCACAAAACCTATCTAAAAAAAGTTAGCAATGTTGATTATAAAGTAAAGTCTACTATTGACTCAACTAAAACTAAAACACCGCAGTTTACACATATATGTACCTGATGATAATCGAGCGATTTTAGAGAAAGAATAATGAACAAAAGTAATTATCTCGAGCTACCACGCTTACTCAATTGTTTAAAGAAGTATGATACAAAAGTATTAATCACGATCTATATTTTGAATACATAAAAACTCTTTGCATTTGAATGACTGATCATATGTCCAATCATGATAATGCCCAAGACGTATCGATATTTATTGAATTCAAATGTCTAATAAAAATAACACGTGCCAATATCTATTTATCGAAGTGTTTGAAATCAAGACACGTCTCCCGTCTAAACCAGACTTTAGACGGATACACCGCCTTGCAAGACGCATGGCATTTTTTAGAGTGTATATTTCTTTATAGCTATCATTTTTCGATTCAGTTTAGGTGATGACCTCTACAAAGAGAATACAAACGATGCGAACGCGTTCTAAACCGATGAAACGTTATCGGACGTGTTCAGAATACGTTCTATAACCGTTCATCTCGATCTGGGACGGAACTTTCAAAAAATTATTTTGGTAACATATGCTACTTAGATGTCGCTAGATTATATACAACATTGATCTATTCAATGATAAGTCATGATCTTATCGAATATGATTTGATTAATCAAATAACCAATATTTCATAATAAATGTTGACTAAAATCATCTCTCGAAATCTTTTTTCTACTATATTATTTCCGTCCATTTATTCAATAATAAAAATGAGTTCGTCGCACACTAACAATGCTTGTTCATCTAGTCAATCACAATCAATTCATTCAGCATCGATCGATGAAATACATAATATTCCAATGAAAGATATAAATCGTCCATTACCATCTGTACTTGATGAAAATAAAGTTCAATCTCTCATAGAAACTATTCAAGTAATATATATTAATTTATTTTATTTCATAGAATTATTCAAATCGTATTTAGACAATGGAATCTGATCGAATTCCTCCTATTGATGTTCTTTGGTATGAAGCACCTAATTCAGGAAATAATTATTTTTTTGCTATGGGTGGTTGTCATCGTTGGGAGTAAGATTTTTCTTTTTGTATTTATTTTGAAAAAAAAATTGAATGCTGATTTGTTTTTTTTTTATATTTAGAGCTCATAAACGTTTAAATTCTGACACTATTCGTGCTAAACTTGTTCGAACAACATTAAATGATTTAAAAATTTATTTTGGTTCATCTTTACCAAATTTAAAATAAAATATTTTTGTCTTTTGTATTATTTCATAATTTTCTTTTGAAAATTATTTTTAGATATGAATGAAGAAAAATTTTATCGTGATCCAGAAGAATATACTATATTTAAACGTCTTAATAATAAACAATTTTCAAAACGTCCAAATGATATTTATGTAACACGTAAAACAAATTTTAAAGCACAATTAGAACGTTGTATGAAATTAATATCATCAAATGGTAATTATAGAGAAATATTTATTCATGGTATGGGTTCAGCATTACAACGAACAATTAATTTAGCATTACAATTTCAATTAAAAACAAATTGTCAATTATATACA